AGTGACGAGGAAAAACTGATGCATTGTGGATAAAAAGTCATGATATTCAATGAATTCAGAAAATCTGCCATAATTTTTAAGCACAACAATTTTCCCCTCTTTTCACTCTCTCTCAATTGCAATTTAATCATACGCTTTGACTCTTTGCAGTGAAGAAAGACTTCAATGGCGAAGAGCAAAAGAGTTTCTTTTCAATTATTATACGCTTTTGTGATCAATTGATTACCGAGAATCGCATTTTTATCAATTTAATTTGTGCCAATATATTTTTGATAATTGAAATTGTGCAAAATTTCTCGTCTATACACAGCAAAAAAAGGGAAAATACGTAGTAATGCGGAGAAATCTAGCCCTAGAAGTGCTCTAAACATAGGAAAAATAATCTGATATAAAAGTTTTTTCATTTCGAAGATATTTAGTAAAATGAGTCCAAAAAATCGGCGTTTTTTTTTACCAAACGGCGCAAAAAGATCATTTTTGACCAACAAGAAGTGATCAAAAATTCACACAATGTTCCACAAAGTTGTAGATAATTTCAATATCTATCATTTGAGCCAAATTTGGGGGAAATCCGTGGAAAATTGGGCGAGATAAGAGCACATATGTGCGCCAAAATGGGGGAAAATAGAAGAAAATAGGCTCCAGGAGGAGAACCTGAAGGTCTAGGGCGCCAAGCGAGGCATCGTTGGAAAGCTAATGATCCAAGGAATCTAATAAACCACATTTAATTTGTATCTGCACTCAATTATGTGATTTAAATGGTTCAAACTGAATGCTTGAATGCCTCAAAAGATAACAAAAACATCCCTTAGTTGAAAATTTGTCGCTCAAGCTGAAGAAAATTGTCAATTCTTGAGCAATTAAAGATAATTTTAGTGAGCAAATTTGTGCTCATCATTATTAAATTGTGACTTTTTCAATTTGAATCATTTGAAACTCAACAATTAAGTCAAAAAACGACTTTGGAAATCTGTGCCTAAGTCAAATTGCTCAGATGCTGGTAAACTCAGTGTGATAAACTCTCTAACATACATTTTGCGCAGAATTAATTCATTTCCATTGTTGTATTTGTGATATTTCAGCCCTTTGAACAATGTTTCACGATTTGTTTCTTGCTCAACCATAAAATTTCCCTCAGAATTCACTCATCTTCCTTCATTCTGCGATATTCACGAATGCGAAAATGAGCAATGACAGTTTTCTACCAGCAACTGTTCTTTGCCACTGTTCGCTGAAGCTTAAAAGCTCAAAACATGACATGAACTTTGAGGTGAATTCAATCAAAAACTTCACCGATCAAATGCATTTTGCCAATGCGAACTTCCACCATCAGTGAATGGGAAAAGCAGAAAAAAGACAGTGTCTTTGAAAGGAAAACTTGTATTTTAAAACTCCGCCAAAGTATTTCACGTTACGCATGCATGAATTTGCGCGTCTCAGAGCAATAAAGCCAGCAATTTTGTATCATATTTTTTTCAATAAAAAGACTTTTTGCAATACACTTTCCACACATTCATATTATTACCAGAGATTTGGCGGGCAAAAACCTGTGTTTTTTCCATTCGCAGTCATTTGTGTTTACTTCCAAGGTTGGATATTTGAATGGCGCGGCGTAGAAATGATTTAAAAAAAAAGGCAAAAAACAGCGTATTATTTCTTGGTAAATCAGTTTTACAGAGAATCATTTGAAAGAATTATTGTCATCGTGGGAAATTCATCTGGAAATGTTATTCATCCACAATTTCTGCACAACATTTTTCACTGGCAATTTTTCACCCAAATTCACCCACCCGAATTTCTGCACACTGGCGAATTTTCCTTTGACCCTTTTCGTCACTGGAAATTTTTCCCGTGAGTGAAATTATGAACGGGTGAAGTAATTTAACAGTAAATAGAATGCAAAATTGAATTATTCATCAAACCTTCTCGCACCTATTTTCGCCCCCCGAAAAAAAATGAAGCATAATCTGATTATTTGGGAAATTTCATTGGGCGCCAATTGCAAAAGCCTTTTTTTCTGCACCGCCAAAAAGAGAGACTTTCTAAGTCAAAACGATAACGGAGTGGCGAACAAAGCGCCAGAGAGTTCAATGAAAATTTAGAAAGACTTGATTTTGATGAATTTCTGGCTTATTTGTAACACCGGATTTCGACTGAATTATGTCAGTAGATAGATTTTGCATGAGTTTCATCATTTTCAGCCGAGGGGTTTTTTATTATGGATTTTGAATGCCTCAGCATTAAAGAATCTTAAAAAATGTGTTGAAAAGAGTGGAAAATGAACGAGAAATTGTTTCTTCGGGAGAAGTTTAAAGTCTGACGAGAGATTTTAGAGCGTCGAGAGAATAATTCCAATCAGTTTGGAGATCATTTATAGAGTCTGTAAGAACGTGAACGAGAATTCCAGAGAGAAAAGGTGGAAAATGAATTATATTCTGTCATTAGTTTGAGAAAAAAAATATAAAAATCTATTTTTGAATACAGAAATTAGAAGATTTTCTAAGAAAAATGTATTTTGTAGGTGGAAAAAGGAATTTAAGGTTCAATTTAAGAAGAATATTCAACAGTTTAAGGACACTTTTTGGTTTTTTGGAAGCATTCTTAAAGATTCTATTATGTGCAAAAATTAGGAGGTTTTTTTCCAGTCTCCTACTTGTTTTTATCCCAAAACCTTGCATAAAACCGTAAATATCCGATTAAACATCAAGTATTAAAGTAATATTGTCTATTCATTGATGTTTTCAAGCTCTCTAGCTGAGAAAATCGCTTTTTACTCTTTAAAAACTATGCAAAATTATTTTATAAATAAATTTTGAAGAGATAACAAGATAAATGGAGCAATTCTCAGTCACACACCGAATGTAAAAATTGTGTTATATTGGTTTAACACACGCCTTGGCTATTCTGAGTCACACATGTGTTAAACGATTTTGTATCGCCTGAATGTGTAATTTTAACACGATCTTAATCTGCAAATATCTTGCAAAGATGAATCAATCTGCAATTGCAGCTCTAATTTTCAAGCATAAACATGAATTATGTTCTCAGTAAATTCTTTTTAGCACGGATTTACTAATTATGAACTGGAATTTTAATAAACTTGACAAATTTCACAATTTTTCCTCTCTAACACATTGTTTTAGCGAGAATATCAAGGGTTGTTTTTCCTTATTCATTTCAAATGTTTAACATTGTTTTGTTTGACTGAGAATTGCTCCAAAAATATCAATTTCTAAGAAACGATCTTCTGGAATCTGAATTTACATCTCGCGCCAAAAGTGTCAGTGCATTCCCAATATTAGCAACCCCTTGTTTTGAGCTCAACTTCTGTGCCCCATTTTTTTTTTTTTTTTAGTGGGCACCGCAAAAAATATACCCTTGATGGAATATTTCTCATCGTGACAGACACTGTGACAGTCACGATAGAAAATAAATTATTTATTTGAATGAATGAGAAAAAAACGGAGCTTGGCAAAATAGCGAAAAGACAAGCTGGGAAATATGAAGAGCATGAATAATACACAAACTACAAATAGTCGATGGATTCATATCATTTCGCATACAGCATAAGAGCGAAACTGTGTCATCTATCATTATTCCCTCGAAATAGATAAATAATTGGGCAATTTATCATGATTGCATGGGAAGTAGAGAAATACGATTATAATAGTATGCTTCTTGTTCGATTTTTACCCATTTTCTCCATTGCATTTCATCCTCACACAGATTGTTGGCTATATGTTACTCCATTCGATATCCCCACACCGCATTTCTCTCTCTTCTTTTCCCTCCCATCAAGCTCCGCCGCCATTCCGAAACCAAGGGGTTGCTAATCGGGGTTTTGAGTGTTATTCCGGACTAATTCACGCTCTGATGACGACTTGATTCCATTTATTCTCCATTGAATTGAATGAATCTTATTTGGCTGAAGAATAAGTCAAGAATAACACTTTCGAACTTAATTTACTTTGATTCGAAGTCGCCCAGATGGCGCGGAAAGCCACAAACGAGGACAAAAAAATTGAATTTTATTGCATTTCTAGGTTATGTGATTGATTTAAAGCAGATTCTGATGGTTAAATAACTCTAGAAATCATCTAATATGTGTTTAAGTTGGGAATATTTCTTTTTTCTAGACATAAAATTAAGAATTTGTGTTGGACGAACTTAAAAGTCCAAACATAACCTTAAAAACGTCATTTCAGCCTATAAAAATGTCTATTTTGTAGTAAATTCAGGCGTACAATCGAAAACCCACGATTGGAAACCCTAGATTGATGACATGAGTCGTCACCAGAGGGCTAGGTCCTCACGCGAACGGAGAGAGGGGAACTCACTTGGCTTTCGATGCTGTGAGTCAGTCTCCTCTGAGTGGTTGAAGTTCGCATGTCGATCCGCACCTTCGGGAGCCCATTCATAGGATTTAACCCGCTCTATCGAGTCATCATAAATTTGCTACATTTATCAGAAGTGGGATAGTGACCCGCGTGACACGGGAGTGTTAGCAGAGTGAATTTAGTGAGAATGGCCCCGACGCGATCGCGAGTGAAAAGAGTGAAAAAAGTGGTGTGAGTGCATCGCAAAATGGCGGCCATTGCAGAGCGGCGAAACTTCGAGAACAATCGCCGTGACGCAACCGCATGGCAGGAATGAGTACCCAGCGATGGGCAGGATCATCTGGGTATCACCAGGAGTGCACCAGAGAATCCTGAGCTACTCCCGGACAGCGATATTCAGGAGGAAAAGCAGCTGAGTGAGGCGTGAAGGTGGTGAAAAGAATTTCGCAATATTACATTCTGTTGGTGAATGATGCGTGCGTGATGGGCCCATGGCGTGAATTGAGTGGTGTGAATGAGCTCTCTGAGTGAGATAACACGATCTTTAGCATTTTCAGGAGATAAAAAGCTCATTTACAGGTGATAAAGACGCATTTTCTGAATGACCGGTAAGTCAATCAGATTTGAATTTCAAAAATGTCCCAAAATGTCCCATGAAATTTCCCTTCGGGTAGCGCCGATGGTGTTGCATAGGGGAAACATTCGCGACTTCTCTCCATCGCGGCCATAATGGATTTTGTCACTTGAACTTCCGGCCGTCAAAACGTGGAAGAAAAGAGGAGAAAACACAGTGATTTGACGGGTGAATTATTTGCAAGTGAATTTTGAGCGGATTTTGGGAGTTTTATCAGAGGAAATCAGCAACAAGAAGAGTGTGCAGGTAATGCGCAAGGAGTTCATAGTGGAGTTGAAGTGTGAAATTGGGATTTAACGTGGAAATTTTGTGTTTTTCTGCAGACATGCCTCGATGTCCCCGCAGTCGTGGAGATGGTGGAAACGAGACACCGGCTCTGGGAGTAGACACGGTGCAATTCTCCTCAGTGATTGGGCCATGCGAGATTCCAGCAATCATCCAGAAGTTCGATCCCGATCAGAGTGACTGCATTGCCACGGACAGCTGGTTATACGAAGTGGAGGCAGCCAAGCTCATGTATGGCTGGGATGAGAAGCGCAGTGTGCTGTACGCGTCCATGCAACTCCGAGGACCTGCCCGGACGTGGTACGATGCCGAGAAAACACGTCTTTCTTCGTGGAGTGTGTTTAAAAAGGAGATAAAGGACATGTTCCCGACCAAAGTGGATGCCACAGAGATCCACTACAAGTTGAACCGTCGCAAGAGAGCGCGCAAGGAGACGATTATCGCATATTTCCATTCCATGCTGGCACTTGCGCGCAAGATTAAGTTGGATGATGACAGCCTCATACGATACATCATCAAGGGGTTGGAATCTGAGGCCAGACGTGTGGTCTTATCAACGCAGAAATTCGCAACTCCTCAGGAGCTACTGCATGCCTTGATTGAGACGGAACCGACAGATTATTCCATGGACAGTGGAAAACATGGACGTGATCGTTCGCCGAGATCTCCCGGAAGCAATCAGGTGAAGAAGGAAGGCAAGAGGACTCGGGCTTGCTATGGATGCAAGTCAAAGGAACATCTGATTGCTGATTGTCCGGAATTTAAGTGAGAAATTGTAGGTGTTACACAGTTAGGAATAAAGATGACTGTCAGAGATTGAGTGTGATGACAGTGACTTCCTGGTGTGGAATAATGGCATTTATTTTAGCAATTCTTCCTGGTGTGGAACAGCGGCATTCTTAGAGTCTTCCTGGTGTGGAACAGTGACATTTTCTCCCAACTTTTCCTGGTGTGGAACAGCGATATTCCCTCATGACTCTTCCTGGTGTGGAATAGCGGCACCCTCTTGAATCCCTCCTGGTGTGGAATAATATTGATGTCAGAATGAATTTTCCCTAGGAATCGCTAGTGGTCTCCTTCGTGGATTGACCAGACTCTTTAGTGGACATAGCGAGGCTGAATGAACAGTCTACGTGACGGCCTACGTGACAGTCTACGTGACGATCTAAGTGATTATTCCGTCGCTGTATAAGTTACGGCTCGATGGTGGTCTAAGTGGCGAACCTATGACAGTATAAGTTACAGTCGGAATAGGTGAACAGAGACAGTATAAGTTATAGTCTCGAGGAACGAACGCAACCATCGTTGGATTAGTTGGATAGGTTCCTACGCCTAGGCAGGATTTAATAGCTAAGTGACATACACAATTCCGTAGGACAATCGGCCGGGAATAGGATAGCTACCCTTAATGATCAAGTGGGAATCCCAGGGAATGATCTTTGATTTCGCCTAAACGGCAACCATCAATGAGGTCATTGAATAGGTCAGGAAAGGCCGAGTTGTAGTAAATTCAGGCGTACAATCGAAAACCCACGATTGGAAACCCTAGATTGATGACATGAGTCGTCACCAGAGGGCTAGGTCCTCACGCGAACGGAGAGAGGGGAACTCACTTGGCTTTCGATGCTGTGAGTCAGTCTCCTCTGAGTGGTTGAAGTTCGCATGTCGATCCGCACCTTCGGGAGCCCATTCATAGGATTTAACCCGCTCTATCGAGTCATCATAAATTTGCTACAATTTTCTTAGGTTTTTCCTCAGTTTGTGCTTTAAAGTGGCAAATTAAGCCTTAAATATTTACAAATTTCCACGTTTGAAAGGATTCAAACTTATACCAAAAGGGATTTTTCAAAAATCGGATTCATAACCTCAAAATTTCAGCCAGAAGTTTCCTAAGCATTTACCAAAGACAAAGCTAAGAAAATGAAGACAGAAATTTGTCACGTAAAAATCCTGAGATTTTTACGTGTTTAAACATCTTAAGACGTAAAAATAACCTAGATTTGACTGATAAGTTAAAAAAGGGTGTAAAAAATTTGCTAGAAAATCAGTCTGAACACTTTCGTTAAGGAAAATTGTGTTATTTCTTGAATAACTGCAATAAATTCATGTGTTTTTTGGTGGAATTTTGCTAGAGTTTTTCTAAAATTATTCCTCGAATTTTTGTAAATAATTACAACTCCATCAAGGAACAAAGTGACACTGCATCTCCGGCATTAGCAACCCCTTGTCCCGAAAGCCAAGCAGCAGATCCAGCTTTACAGAACGAGAGCGCAGCTTTTCCACCCAGACACGAACGGGGTTTGTTATTCAAAGTGTATAAAAGTGTGTTTAATTTGTGTACAGAAAATGCACCGTGCATATTTTCACATGGTAGAAGCGTGGAGAAAAGCATGTCGAACACACATATTGAGTAGTTAGTCAGGATGATACAAGGATAACTCCTGATAAGCAATATTAGCCCAATGAATGCGGAGATTCTTGCGCTATTCAACGACAAATTGGGCCACGAGATTCAAAGCTCTTTCTCTGCATTTCACTTTTCTCACTCAATGGAAAATCGCAATCAAAAGCTCTTTCAGGATACTTTCAGGGATAAAGAGAAAAAGGAAGTGACATATTTCAAAATTGATTAAAGAAACTCAACGAAGTGCATCGAATAAACATACTTTCCTAGATTTTTATTAAATTTTCAATGCATTTTCAATTATATTTTTCATATTTTTGAATTTTTTCACTTGAAAACTTGACAGAAAAATTCATTTTAAATATGAAAAGCTCATTTTTACAGTTCTCTTGGACAAAATTTACTCGAAAACTATTAAAAATTCACTTTGAAGAATTATATTTTCAGTTTTTCAATAAAAATTTCAATAAATACCAACAAAATCAACGGAAATATTCACAAAATAAAATATAACAGCAATATTTATGCGAAATTTTCAATTTGCTCTCCTGAAAAAACGACGATTTTGACTTTTCATACTTTCCTATTCACCCAAAGACTTGAAAACTTTGAAAAAATTAACAAATTGAGTATGAAAAGCTGATTTTTAGAGGTTTTTTGGACAAAATCTACCACGAAGACTATTAAAAATCGTCTGGAAAGTAATATTTTCAGTTTTTTCTATTAACTTTGTCATATTTCAATGAAAAATTTGAATAAAATCAACTGAAACATTCACAAAACAATTATGACAGTGCAATATTTGCACTTTAATTAACAAATTGAAGGTATTTTTAGGGTTTTGTGAGAGAAAATGAACCGAAATCTGTGGATTTCCTCATCAAATACCAGTCAAAGACGGGGAATTTATATGATTACAATATCTGTAATTGGAAATATCGGGAATGAGAGCAGAAGAGCAGAAGGGCATAACCTCTTGGTATGCAAGCGGATTTCTGCAAGGATGTGTGCTTCGGACTCCGGCTGTTGGAGCCTAGATTGTAACGAGCATCCCTAGACGTCGAGCAGGCGAAACACAGCAAAATTGTTCCGAGCAGATCGTTTATCTTGTATCCAATTTGTTTCTGTTGTGCGGCTCTTATCTCTTTTTTTTCCCTCTCCTTCTCCTCCTTTTTGCACAATTTTCCCTACATAAATATATATATATATATTTTGCTGTGTGCATGGGTGGAAAATGTAATGTTATACAGCTTTTATGGGTTTTCCTGCAGAATCCCCCGAAACTCATCCGCGCGCCGAAAGATTCTCTCTTTCTCTGTTCTGCAAAACCCTCAAGAAAGTAAAGCATATGAATGTATATCCTGGCAATCCCATTCTTCACATCTAACCCGAACAGTACATTGGGTTATGCACCCAATAGACACACATGGTAATCCTGTGAATGAGGAAGAACGCAAGTTCTATTTCACTTGCGAATTATCATTTTCCACCATCGTCCATAAGACAATCCACCGCAGCCCTGTCCAACCCCCAATTCACCCACATTACTTCCGCATTCACTTTCGCATCGCTTCACATGCAATTCCGCGCGGGGGCGAAGCGCAATATACATATATATATGCGATCGCACACAGTCGAAAAGCACGCCATATAATATAAAGAATTTCACAATGTAACCCAACTTTACTGTCTCCGGAGACAAAGGGTTTATCGGAACAGCACACAGTGGCAATAAAAACGGATCTCCACCGAAGAATGATGAACTCTTCGCCACTGCAGACCGCGAAGGAGTCGCAAGGACTCACCAAGGGGGAGATAATGTGCCTCAAATCCACTTCCAGACACTCCTAAACGCATTTCAAGGCATTTCAGACACGAATTTATGAAGTTTAAGTTCTTCAAATGCTTAGATTTTGACCAAGGAGCAAGTCACAAGGCGATTTTAGAGGAAACTTATAATGTTTTCTAATAAAATAATCAATTATTTAAGAACAAATAATCAAAAAATGATTATTTTCCCAAGTAAAATGACAAAAAAAATTTTAAAAAAAATCTAATTCTGAATTAAATAAAATAAAAAAAATGATAATTTTCAATCAATGAATCAGAATATACAAATATATTCAAATTTAGAATTAATATTCAAAAATAAATCTCAAAAAGTAATCAAAATTTGAGTTATAATCACAAATTTAAAAAAAAATTATTGAAAAATCAGTTATTTGATTTGCCCATGACAAATTTGAGTCTTGATTTTCTAGTTTTATGTTTTAGAAAATGCTAAAAAACATTTTTTTATCGAATTGTGAGATTAAGAATGCGACTTAAAAGTCTTTCTTCGCCGTATTTGAATCTTTTTACACAAGAAAATTAGAGAATTTAGCGAAGAACACAAAGTTTCTACAAAATATTGTCGTTAAATTTGCCACTTTGAAGCACAAACTAAGAAAAAAGACAATTTTCTATACTTAAATACAATTTTTGAGGTTATGATTGACTTTTGAGCTTTTTCTTACCTAAAATGAAGTTATTTCGCACAAAAATACTCAATTTTACCAAGAAAAAGATAAATAATCCCAGATTAAACACAATTTTCATGATTTAGAGGATTTTTTAATCACCTGAATCTGTCTTAAATCCGTCACATAATCTAGAAAAAGCAATAAAATTGATTTTTCTAATATCTTTCCCTTGTCACTGGCCGGCAAATCGCAAGTAGCATAAATATCCTTACACTTTGTGTGTATTTAATATGTACAGGCAAGTGGCCAAAGCCGAAACCAATTTCAATATCCATTCACAGACCTCAGAGGAACATTTTCTTCATCCTCGAAAATGATTGAAATTCACCGAGTGAAACCGATAATAGTTTCCATCAACAGAATTACCACTATTTTGAATAAATTTCCGTTCTCACCACAGTCGTAACCACCAAGTTAACTGTTTCAACAACCCTTCCTCGCCATCAATTTCAACCCCCAGTGACCAAATTCGACTAATGAAAAAGTCAGGACAGTAAATAATGAAGTTACCATTAATTTTAGTATCCATTTCGCAACGCCACCAGAGCTGAATGGTTGGCAAAAAAAACCCCTAAAAGTAACAACAAAAACCTACTTCGCAGCTTTTACATGTGGAAACGATCAAATTTAAAATTCTTATTGCACTCTTACAGATGCTTTACGGATAAAGGATTATTTGATGAGAATAGATTGTTTTCAATAAAGGACATCGCAGTGACAGAAATACAAAACAAGGTGTGGAATTTAATTCAATTAAGCAGGAAAATCATATTTATCTGAGAAATGATGCTAAATAATCCATGAACCACTTAAACCTTCTCACACCATTAATTGAATTGAATTAAATCCCAATTTCACCTTTATAGAACAGCAGCAAATTT